GGTATTATCAACTCATAAATATTTATTGAATTTTAAGAAATTTTCAAAAATGGCTACAGCAGTAGCCGTCGACGTTGCCACCGCCATGAGGCCATCGTGAGGGACGGAGGACAATCTATGAGCGACATCTGAACGTGGCCAGAGGACACGGCGACCAATGACTTGTTGTCCTGCCAGCGCATCCGTCATCGATTTCGATTCGCCATCATTCGCTCCTGAGGTCTCCCCCAGCAGCCTCGGAGCTCCAAGCTCGAAACTCGCACTCGCACTCTCCGTCTCCCTCTCCGTTTACATTCTCTTATTTGGATTATAATTTTTTCCCATTTCACATATGAATGCACTCCTTCTTGGCAGTCGGTCGGTCAGGGTTCGCAGCAGTGATGCCGCTTCCGTTGGCCAGTTCGCCAGTTGGCCAGTTGTCAATTTCCATTTTCATTTCGAGGCGACTTGACGGCAAAAAGAGAAAGAGGCGCAAATCCTGTAATCTCTGCTGAGATAGAGACCGAGCGAGAACGAAAACGAGAACGTGAAGGAATAGAACAAAGGTACAGTCCGGCAAGATTATCTACTGAACGCTTTCATCCAATCTTCAGTATATGTAATATATATTCAAATAATATATTTAATAATATAATTTTTAGTACGAAAGCCAAAACTTTGGGGAATTGTCCATCCACGCCCCCGAGGATAGCTAAGAACTCATCGGAAATTATTGCCAGATGACCTAGTCCCACATACTGCTCAAACGTCGTAACTATTGTAGGTACATACATATGTATGTATGTATGTACATATGTACGTACATGCTGGTGGAGGCCCTCCAGCTCGTCGGCGGCTATCGTGCTCTATCTGAAGCCTTCGAAGCTTTTGCAATTTTAATCGCATTAAACAGTCACTTGAGCGCTCCACAACTCCGCTCCACATTTCTTGCCACGACTTTTCTCTCTTAATACCCTATCCAGAAGCTGACCCATGCCACCCAGCGATGCCCCAGCACCAGCACAGATGCCAATGCCTCCACCACTACCAGCAATGACCTATCACCCTTCGCAAATGCAAAATTAACTTGTTGATGTGGCAGCGGCGACGAGACCCAGACGCGTCATAGAGACTGGTTTTGCGCCGGGTGGGGGAGAGGGCGCTGTATAAGTCTGCTGCGCTGAAAATCGTTTCGTGTTCGAATCTTATTAGTGGTCTATAATTACAATTGTATGCAGAGCAATTACGTATACGTTACGAGACACATACCGAAACTCCCACACACAAGAACACAAGAAGTGTGCGGGGTGACACAGGTGTGCGTGTGTGTGTGTGATGCTAATTAACATTAGGACTGGCCGTTAAGTTCTTGTTCATTTCGTAGGCAAATGTCATAACACACACATACTCATACACATACACACACACACACATACCATATGTAAGTGGAAACTGAAATTTATGCATATGTATGTGTATGTGTGCGGCTCAAGGCTCATACCCAAACCCGTTGAAACTCACTCCACAGCCACAGTCCAGTCCAGTCCAAGTGTGTTTTGTAATTGAATCCACGTCTGAAATCTGTCTGTGGTCGATAATTTCATTTCGGGCTCCATTTTGAATACAAATTTCTACTTGAACGCACTGTGCGCCCCTGTGTGGCCCCCTCCGCGGTCCCCCTGGTCCAGGGTCTGGGAGGGAGTGTCATGCTATATGTCCCTGGCAACCGCAGCACGATTTTCTGGGGCAGCTCTAGCAGCAGCCATGGAGACTCAAATATTTCCAGTATCCCAGCTCAAGAAGTGCCGGCATCAGGTGGTGCTTCGTTTTTGTAATTACACCGTTCCAGGAACCATCTTTAATTTGAGGATCTACTAGGTAGGTTTTAGCGTTCTCTCTAAAGAGAACGTATACAATCGGACGGCTTCGAGCTGAGGTATCCACAATCATAACTACATTTGGGTAAACACGTGCGAAATCATTAATTATATAATTATACTTACCCCAATTTTCCTGAACCTTGTCTTGCGTATCAGGAGATACGTACATCTATGTACGAATGTACATTTCCCCACATCCGAAATTGGGCGTACTCATTTGCAAAAGGTTTAACATTCTGAAAATTGTAAGATTGGAATTAATAAATAAATACTGAAATTTACGATCAATTGATAATGGTGTAAGTTCGTGAACTGCGGAAATGGATGTACCAAAAATTGTGAAAATTCGACAACAGCGGGAACGCGAGACGATCAACTGGAGGTGATGGTGAGCAACGGAATATAGCGTGTTCACGTGTCGCCCAAACTAAAAATATGTTATACCCACAAGTATAGGCATATGTTTCTCATTGTTATCCATTCAACCAAAATGTGATACAGCAAAACGATGCCTGGGTCCGAAAAATCGCATGCGCAAACTCGAAAATGGTGATAAGACAAGGAGGGGGATGGCATTGAGGGGGAATCCCGAGAGAGAGAGAGAGAGAGGTAGTGAGCGGTGGTGAAGGGGAATTGATTGTCATGATTTATGGCGGTCAACTCTTATACGTGCCGCGGTTGAGGTCTCGGCTGAAAGGATATACAAGTACAGTTAACACAAATTTATGGAAAAAGTGTTGAGCCAACTGTTATATGTTGGCTAAGAGCAGAATGATTTTTCTCTTCGTGGTTGCTGAGTTTTTAACAGCAGCCTCTCTTCTCCACTCTCTTTTTGTCCTTGCCACACAGTTCTGTTACGGATTACATAAGTGTTATACATCCTGGTGGCGTGGAGGTGGCCAACAGACAATCGAATCATCCGGACTAAGCCATTTTAATGGAGTCATGGTCTCCAGACCGAAAGCGGTCCACATTGATCATAAATCGAGTTACTCGACACACACGCACACACCCCCATCAATTAGTTCCAGAGGAGGTGGCAGTGCCACTGGCAAAAGAGCGGTAAAGATAGGGAGGGCTTAAAGTTATATCCACCTAAGACTTGTTGAATACACTCATGTCCCAGGAGCTGCTCGAGTCCTTGTCGCCTTCCGCAAGCAAATTTCACTTCGAAATTCAATATCTTTCCCCGAGTGTCCGTATCTTACGCCGGATGATTCTCCGTGTGTGTATGTCAGCCGCTTCGCCTGCATGAGCGCCTAAAAAGCAGACATAATTAGTTTGCGCCCAGATTTTTGCGTCTCTTATGGTGCGACACTTGGCAACGCCTTCCTGCAAACAGGAGGAGTAGCCCGCCCCAGAGCATCGCCCATAAATCCAGACCCTCTTTAAACACGGTCTGTCTTTAGTTCAACTTAATGTCTTAAACCCCGTCCAGAGAATGCACCAACGACAGGCTTTGCCGCAGGAAAGTCAGACCACCCACACATGTATATTGGCATTATATTAGAAAATAGTTTTGGGCTCGTCTTCAAGGATAGTAAGGAAAGGAAAATGGGAATTTAGGATCTCATTGTTACGAATACTATGTTGTGTGTGAGAGAGCGTGGTGCGGGACGGGACCACCTTGTATAATTTCATTATGTATGAGATATAAGCACTTAAGGTTGAAAATTGTTTCAGTGTGAAACAATTTATTGAACTCTTATTCGATTATTAGTTTAGCAAGCTGAAATTGCCGAAGGCTCCACTGCGCTGTCTCGAGCTAGCTCTGCTCGTCGCTGACGTTCAGACGGAACATAGCCGAAAAGAGAATTGAAAGCCCGCGCGCTCTCTCTGTCCATGGGACGTAGCGATAAGCCCCGCCATAGAAAAGGTTTTTGGTCGCTCACTCAGCATCTTGTTGTCGTATAGTCTTTGCTAGTACTCAGTTCAAAAAAAAAAACTGCTCGCAAACAGAATCAGGGCTGATATTCGTATGAAACCGTTAAGAAATTTGTTCAGGCACAAACTGTTAGCTATGATCTGTATGGCGGACAGTACTCAGTACTCGGCTGCGGTTGCACGGGAGTCGTCGCCAGCTGCTGGTGCTGAGGATCCAGGATACATATGTCTGAGGAAGAGCGACCTAAGCCGAAGCAGTGCATTTCATTAACTTTGTTTACTTTAAGCAAAACCAAACAGCTGCATGAGCAGTGTGACCGTACGGAATGCAGTGCACACCCCTGGTCACACCACTGTCCGCTAGAAAAATAAATGGCATGGCACTTTTTGCTCGGAAATATTTGTTGGAACTGAGTTCTAGTCTAGGAAGACAATAATGGTTTTCTTGGTGTGCGAACGAATCCTCACTTATACGAATGAAAAATCTTTACAAATAAATTAATCTGAATAATTGAATACATTCATGATATGTATCCCCAAATATTTTCCGTTCATATAACCAATTTGGTTGATTTATTAAATAGCTCAACTTTGTGCCAATGTAATCTCCAGCACCGCGCAAAATTCCTGCTAGGAATTTGCTAGTTATTCCGTGAGGGTGTGAAAGCTACAACAGGGTTAATGAATCAGCTGTGTTTTGTAAACAGTGCCAACTGTGAAATTCCACTAAAATTAAAAAAGGAAACAAAATGCACTGTGACCATGAAGTGATTATGTCGGTGGCGACATAGTAGTTGCAACTTGCAATGAAAAAATGAATCTCATCTCTCTTTTTGTTTTTCGCACAGTTTTTGCCTCTATCTGGTACCTGTGGAGCAGCTGTTATCTCAGTCCACATATGGTCCCGATAGGCAACTATCGATATAAATCTGTGGATTCCGTTCATGTTGCTGGATACTCAAGCCAGGAAAACGTAAGCAACAAATTCCTACCACATGTTTTTTATATGAAGTATGAGAGGAATTTTTCGATTCCGCTGTGCTGGATTCTATGATTTATTGAGTTAACTCAACTATCGAAAGGTAACTCTTGTAGGTGTTAAAAGGCGTAGAAACATATGTAAGTAAGCAAAGCTGAATTAATTTAGTATCACGAAATTAGCTCAATATTTGGGTTGTACGAAGAAATATTCATTTTTTACGATATTGTTTTTGTTGTTGCGAGTCTAGATCTGTCGATACGATTTTGCGATATTTTGAGAAAATATCAATTCCCTGTAGTACCCATCGATAACAGCATCGATGCGTGCCTGAGTGTCCAGATCAAAGCTTGCAAATAAATGTTGTTTAATATGGCCGAAATGTGTAATTTATTTGACAATCACAAAGACGAAGAGTCTGGAAAGGTTGTGCTTGGGTCCAAGTACATCCTTGGCGGAAGAGTTGGTAAGTAAGAACCATCCCCACGTTCGCCACCTTGCTGATTGATTGTCCGTAGGCCTCGGTGCGTTTGGATCGGTGTGGTACGCCACGCGCTTGGACAATAAGTTCGGACTCATTGCAGTAAAGGTGGAGGCCAAGTCGGAAGGCAAAGCGGAGTACTTGCCACATGAACACAATGTGTACAAGTTGTTGGGTGACAAAGTAGGATTCCCCACGTGCCACGAAATGCAAAAAGAGACCAAGTTCAACTGGATGGCCATCGATATGGTGGGGCCGTCGCTGGATTTCCTGTTGCTAACAACTAAGACATTTGACCTCAAAACTGTACTAATGATTGCCACCCAGGGAATTGAGCGACTGAAGAACCTCCACGACCTCGGGCTCGTGCACCGCGACATAAAGCCGTCCAACATGGTGATTGGCTGGAACAGGAAACTCATCCCCGAGTTACATCTAATTGACTTTGGCTTGGCTACGCGCTTCAAGGTTCCAATGACCGGAACGCACTATCCTCTTAAACTTAACTCAGGGCTAGTAGGCACAGCTCGATATGCCTCACTCAATGCAATGCGTGGGATGACGCAGTCGCGCCGCGATGACATGGTGTCATTTGGGTATACTATTACTTACTTGGCCCAAGGGAAAAAGAACTGGATGAACGACGACGCCACTACGGTAGAGAAATTGCTGCGGATGAAGGAGAATACAACCCTGGAGCAATTGACAGAGGGTCTCCCCGATGCGTTTTTATCGTATCTGCACTATGTCACCAATTTGGATTTTGAGGAGGAGCCCAAGTACGACCTTATGATCAACATGTTCCGGTAAGTCCCTCGTCGCTCTAACCTAAGCCTAAGCCATGCGCACTCTGAGAAACGAAACCCTTCTCTGCCCACAGCCAAGCCATGGACCAACACTCCATGAAATATGACTATAAATACTTGTGGGACGATTTCTTCAGAGACAAACGGGATAGCCGCAATAAAGAGACGGCGAATGGGAAAGAAAATAAAATTATAATCCGGATCGAGCAGAACAGTGCTCTGGCGAAAATGGCCGATCATTTTTTCTCGTCCAAATCTCAAAAACAGAATAGAGTGAAGTCAAATAGTCAAATAGAGTCAAATAATGCTAAAAAGCCCAGGCTCGAGGAGCCCAAACTGCCCAACTGATACTCACTCAAATGTAGCTCGATGAGACTTTGGAAGCTTTTATTTTTGTTGTTTTATATTACTATATATACTATGCAAACGTTAGACATGCACCTACATACATATGTATTTATGTATATATAATAATACTTTTGCATTGAGAGCGTTATATTTAAAGTACAATTTTTGAATGTCAGTTTATTAGAAGGATAGAAATATAAAAAAGTTTTAGTTTATTTATTGTTCCACTTATGTTTCATGGCACCTCTATGGATATCAGATCACTTGGAACTCGTTGCTCTGAGGAGGTTCAACAGTTGGAATTGGGGAACTCTGATATTGAAGGAAGGATTCTTTATCGATTGACCCTTGTGGATGTGCCCCGGAATATGGGGAGCTACAAGCATACCCACCCACTGTTTGTGGAGAGAAATCAAAATTTTATACTTGGCTACACATTTCCAAAAGGGCTCCCCGAAAGTTACGGCCAATGTATGGGAGTGGGGGTTCGGAGACTACTTAGGCTGTGTCTGTGTATGGACGAACATACATGTGTCTGTGTGTGGCTTCGTGGGTATGTCTGTGTGCTTAAGTGCGTGTTTATGGCGCAATAAAACAGACCCTAACCAGGCTCGCACACAAAGCAAGGAAAAGCAGGGGTTTCATGCTGTGGGGAGCAAGCACAAGGGTGGTGTGGCACAGACATAAAGCAATCGCGTTGACTACTACTGATGCTGCTGTTGCATGCTGCCAGAGCCAAATGAAGCAGCCAAACGAGACTGGAAAAACCAAACTCAGCTTCAGGACGAGGACGAGCCCAAGGAGGAGGCCAGACCGCAGCAGCCAGACGGAATCGCTGGCCAAAAAGACCAGCCAACAGAAGCCAGTCGGACGGAGCTACAGCCAGGCGGAAAGAGACAGTCAGCCAGCATCTTTTCGCTTGTCTGCTGCGCATTTATGACTTTCCTAGGGAGAGCTACGCCACTGAGTCTTGGGCCTGAGTTCCCATAGCCTGCATGTAGGCGCAGTCCCGGGAACAGCCACAGACATATGTCTTATCACAGACACACACACACACACACATGACTGGCTGCTGTCAAATGCCATACTAAACCGATAATCCAATCATAAGTTATAGTCAAATGAGTTTGCTCTTCAATAAATTTTCGCCTTTCATTCTCCTCTCCTCTCCTCACCACTCCATCGCTGCATAGTAATGTCTTCCTCTGCCGCTGCTCCACTGGGAGGAATAACTTTACCAAATCAATTTTATGAATGAACCTCATGATCTCAAAGGATGGATCTCGAGATATAATTGAAAAATCGCAAAGGGAAATACGAGTACTAGTACTCGTACCAATACTAGAAATCAACTTTATATTCGTGTGGGTACCTATAATCCTATATCCTACTTCCATGCTTTACTCTCCAACGCTTTTCTGTAGTGTACATAGATGAATGAGGCTGCGGATGCGTCTGAGAGTGAGTGGGAGACTAACTTATGTTGCCAAAATACTTTGGCAAGAGCATCATCACACTAGCGCAAAACCAATTAGAGACTTCGTTCCCGATGCCGGGTGAAGCCAGACGTCGGTCCGTTAGTTAACTTATGTGCTTATTACTGAGACTAACTGACAGATCTTTCAAACTATCAATGTCTCCATCGGGAGCTGGAGATCCGTTCCACCAGGGTGCAGAAGGAATCCGGCTCCCCTATATATGTATGTACGCCTCTGCTCAGGGTTTTATTCGGTATACAACAATATTTTGCTGGAAGCATATCGTTCAATGGGTCATCGTCTGGATTCGTGCATGCTTGTGGAAGGAGTTTGTTTTTATTGAGAAAAGAATAAGCCCATGGACGGACCCATAGACAGGGCCCATGGGCGCGCATAGGCCACCGCGAACTCTTCCCTTGTGTCAGTGCCTTGATGCAATGCAATGTTGCCCTTGCTGCTACGGCCTTACTCAATGGTCGCCGTTCCCTTTGCACGTCGTTGCCTTTAATGCGTATGTGTAACAACTATTAGAAAAGAGTGGCCGGAGCGGAACCGAAAGCAACAGGAGGCACATACCTCCCTTCCACCCGTTTGTTCGTTTGTTTGGGTGGGTAATGGTACAACCCTTTCTGCCATATTTTTTTTCTGCTACCAGCCGCTCCACTGCTCTGCTGGCGAACGTTTATGATGTCCTCCAATTGTCCCCTTAACGGAATACGAGTGTGTGTGTGCGTGTATGTCCCCTGTTCTTTTGTTACAACGATTTTTGCGCAATTTCTTTTGTGCTGTGTGGAACTGCAGCAGGGGCAACAGAGGCAGTAGAGGCAGCATCGCTGCCTGTCATAACTGTCGCTCCTCCAAACGAGACTCATACTATAGCAAAAGCTCTGCCGTTGCCGCTGCCGCTGCTGCCGAGCACATGCAATTAGTGCCAAATGTTTCCATATTTTTGCCCAGGAGTGTGGAGTGTGCGGGTGAGGATGTGGCAACAGCAGGTGGGGCAGCAATGCTGACCACAGCATTCAGTAGCAGCAGCAATGGCGGTGCCAGCCAAAGGAACAGCCATTGGGCCAAACATCAGCCAGGAGGCGGAGGCGGTGGCGGAGGAGAGGCGGAGAAGAGGCCACGGGAACAGCCGGCAAAAAATGAGCAACATTTTCCTCGTTTCATTGTTACCACATATACAGAGAAGAGCAGTGGGTGGAAGTGGCGGAGAGAGGAAAAAAAACGATGCTCCAACGAATCTCAGATACTCCTCATTTGGACAAGGACGCCTGCTTAAGTACTAACTATTAGAAGCGCAAGGAAGGACAGTGCGGGTGGTGCAGTAACGGGCCATGAATACTATATACACATATGTACGTATACTTAATGTTTCCTTCCGTATTTTACATACATTTTAATACCGGGCATTATAATTCAAACCATTACTATTGGCTTCCCAATGATAATCCTTCTGAAGTAGATTTAAATAGAATATATATCGCCTAATATATATCTATATATAATATAAATCCTTGTGTAAGTGGCTATCTCCGCAACGCGTACACCAAATTGCATGCTGTATTTCTTAAATGATAGCCAGAGTATGTGGCATTGTTTCTATTTAAAAGACTCCTCGAAAATTAAAAATTAATCAAACAAAAATCTCAAATTTTGTCTGAAGAACAGAACATTTTATAATAGATTTTGTCTAAATTAAATATAGATAGATGCTCAGTCGGGGAAAAGAGTATCGAGTCAAAATACGAGCATGCAATGCCTTGCCGGCCGTGTCCGGATCGGAGTGGAGTGGAGTGGAGTGGCCAGGAGGAGGGTCCAATGGCCCGACTGCCTGTGTAAATGGCCGTAACATTTTCCACACATCCCTTCATTGTTCCTCTTCTCGTACTTCTTTTGTTGCTGCCACTCGACATGACCCACGATCACCGACCCCAACCTCCCCTTGCGACAGAGTGTGTGTGTGTGTACGGTTAATTATACATTTTACATATGGATGGGGCCCTGGGAGTGGAATTTGTCACATGTCCATGTGAGTGTTGGCACTGGTGTGGACATATCCGATTTCCTCCCCTGCCTACCCCTTGCACCATGGCCCCATGGCCACACAACCTTCTTCCGACCCCTGACCTTTGTTAACAATATGCGTTCGAACATTGTCCGGCCTCCTCATTCGCGCGACCATTGTCCTGGCTATAAGGCAGCCCGTACATATGTACATGTGTCAAGAGGGTCCTGGGTCCTGGCTCTGGTCCTGGCTCTGGTCCTGGCGCTCTTTATAAATTTTCAGCTATTTTTAGGCTGCAGGAAGTACGGAAGAAGTACTTCCGTCCCATAAATGGGGCTTTCGAATGAAGCAGAGATAACCAAAAGGTGAAAAAACGTGTGACGAATTTTCAAAGGATTTCTTTCGCCCTTGCAAGGGCTACTCCTTTGGCAGATAATCAGCAGCGGGAGAGCAGCATTTGTTTATCATCTGGGGATCGAAGTCATTCGATCATTTTATAATTTTATTATTATTTCTACTGTGTTTTAATAAGGCTATGGATATTAAGTTCTAAGTCAATACTACTTTGGGAGCAGAAGATAAAAAATCCGCAATGTTCATCCAGTTTTCGTAACTATCTCGTTTGATTTGGAAACAGAACAGACCCCTCTGTTCCAGCTCTGTTCACGCTCTGTTCTATATGCCGAGCCAGGACGGCAGAATGAGCTACAGCAGCAAGAGCCACCACCTGATTCTATCGTTCGAGCTGCCCAATCAGGCAACAACACCCTCCATGTCCACTCCCGCTCGCAATTTTTCTGCAGCAGAGCTCCGGATGGAGCCAACTGCACTTGCATAGCATTGTCCGCTGTGTGTCGGCCATGACCATGAGCATCCTGAGTCAGGGCCATAAAAACAAGTGCAAAATGCAATTTGAAGCCAATAAAGAAATTTACCTTCGATAGCCGAAGCTGTAGATGCACTCTGTCATGTACATATTCTAGTACTATGTCCGCTGCAACACTTGTATCTGTCCTACAGGGTCATGGAGGTAGCTTTATCTACAGGGTATCAGCTCAATGCTCGGCTCAAAGCGAATGTTCCCCATTGGAGAGTAATGCAGACATTGTGTATTGTGGCTGGCAGGTAACAGAGGTAAGGCTGGTAGGACGATCGAAGGTCAGGTTTGAGCAACGATATTTGATGCGAGCATTTGCATTGCGGGTAATTAACAGGCCATTTAGTGATAAACGATATGAGTGTGCACATAACTGGCCCTCTGGCCTCTTCTTTTTATTGTGATTTAAATATAGTGCATGAAATGCAATAAGCCAATAAATTGGGAGAGAAGCCAAGAGAGATGGCCGGATACTCTAATCAAAATAGATATGAAGTATTCGTAGTGGCCACCCGCATTCGTGGGCCGAGCAAATTTAATTGAACATGACTAAGGGGTGGGCGGCCATTTCACATCTCCCCATTACGGATGGTATGTATGGCTTCAAGTGCATGCATTTGAGTGGCATTGTAGGGTGGCCGGAAGTGGAGAGGAGCCGCTTTCTGCGGCCCAAATGTGAACATATATTCTCAGCTGCAGCTGTTGCAAAAATATTTATTTGTATTTCGATGCATGTTGCACGGTACGTGCCATGTGTGAAAGTCAAATCTAGATGTATACATATGTACATGCATACAGGTACAGATACACAGATACA